AAGTTGCAGGATATAAAATTAACACACAGAAATCCCTTGCATTCCTATACACTAACAATGAAAAAACAGAAAGAGAAATTAAGGAAACAATACCATTCACCATTGCAACAAAAAGAATAAAATACTTAGGAGTATATCTATCTTCCTCTATCTTTAAAGTCAACAGTGTAGCATTTTCGAGCCTCTCTGTCTCTAATCTCTGCTTCTGTTCTCCCATCTCTTCTCACTCTGGAACCTCTCATAATGTGATTATATTGGGCCCACCTCGGTGACCCTCATGGCTAAGTCGGTAAATAATATGCCTGTAATGCAGGAGAAACCCATGGATGGAGGAGCCTGGTGGGCTACAGTCCATGGGTTTGCCAAGAGTTGGACACAACCTAGAGACTAAACTGCCACCACCACAGTGACCTAAGGATGTCTCTCCATCACAAGTTCCTTAGTTACACTGGCTAATCCCTGTACCAGGTACAGTAATGCACTTGGTCACAAATTCCAGGGATTAATTGGCACATGGCCATCTGTGTCCCCCCCCCTTTTTTTTAAAAAGGGGAGCTTTATCCTGTGTATCTCAGTGAGTGTCTAGATTTCCTCCAGCATGTAGAGTTGGTGATGTGTATAGAGAAGGGGTTGGTGTTTGTTTAGGCAATCAACAATATTTTGACATTTTTACCAATATGGGTTTATTTTTAAGTTTATTTTGTTTTTGCTTTTTTTTTTTTTTTTGGTGTTGGGAGTACAGATGAATTTTATTTTCTCCTTCATCATTTTTGAGGTTTTCCCAAATTTTACAATAAACACTTCTAACTTCATAAACCCCACTCCTTCCAATCTGATTTTCAAAAAGAAGGAAACTGGAGGGTGGTGAAATACCCAGCTCTGAATTGAGGTCTAGCTAGCAAGAACATGGGTTTGTTTTAGAGACAAGAACACAGAGAAGAGTCTGGGAAACAGGATTCCTTGTCCCCATCTAGTCTGAGTCTAGGACCTCAGTTGTCCAAATCCTCGGAGAAAGGAGTCAGAAAGAGAAGGTACTTTCACGCTGGTCCTCTAGTCACTCTGTGAGTTGGTTACTGAAAGGGAAAGTGGCTCAGTCGTGTCTAACTGTAGTCCACGGAATCCTCCAGGCCAGAATACTGGAGTGGGCAGCCTTTTCCTTCTCTAGGGGATCTACCCAACACAGGGATTGAACCCAGGTCTCCCACTTTGCAGGGGGATTCTTTACCAGCTGAGCTTTGATTACTGATGTGTTGCTTTTTGCCCCAACAGAACCACTCAAAGCCCAAGTCAGGAGAGCAAGTCAGAGCGGGGCTCCTCCACGATGGAAGTGAGGCTTCTTCTCTTAGGGAAGCATGGCGCAGGGAAAAGTGCCACAGGAAACAGCATTCTGGGAAAAGCCGTGTTCGAGTCCAGGTGCAGTGAGCAGCCATTGACTAAAAGGTGCCAGAGAGAGAATGGGGTCACGCAGGGGAGGGAGGTTGTGGTCATCGACACCCCCGACCTTTTCTCCTCAATAGATGACATCGCTTGTGTAGATAACAAGCGATGCAACATTAAGCACTGCTTGGAGCTCTCGGCTCCCAGCCTCCATGCCCTGCTTCTGGTACTTCCCATTGGCAACTGTACGGTGGAGGATGGACAAACAGCTGAGCACATCCAGAAGGTGTTTGAAGCGAAAGCCAGGAGGCACACCATTATCGTCTTCACTTGTAAGGACAATTTGAAGGATGGCTCGCTGGAGGAGTACGTTAAAAGCAACTCACCTGTTCAGGACTTGGTTCAGTGCTTTGGTGGTCGATACTGTGCTTTCAACAACAAGGCAACTAAGGATGAGCAGGACGCCCAGGTGAAGGCGCTCCTCTGCAAGGTCCAGGATTTGGTGGAAAACGAAGGACCATTTGTGGTGAACTTAAGGGATGAAGACGGTAGATTCCAGGTGAGAATTCTTGTTAACATCTCCAAGGATCTCTGTTGTTAGAACTGGTGAGATAAAGGCACAAATAAGTGAAATGTTGCATAGGATTTTTGTTTTTTTTAAGGACATGGCAACCCACTCCAGTATTCTTGCCTGGGAAATCCCAGGGACAGAGGAACCTGGTAGGCTACAGTCCATGGGGTTGCAAAAATGTCAGGCATGACTTAGCTACTAAACAACGACAGCAACAAGGGGACATTTGTCCATAAACTGGAAAGATGAGGCTACTTTACTGGCAAATTAATAGATACATTTAAGTCCTTTTCTGACTTTACCCTTCATAGCACTGGACACACAAATGACTCATTAAACCCCCTCTTCCCATGACTTCAGTAAAAGCTCACTCTCCTTGTTTTCTTCTCTCTTGCTACCACAGAGGTTGCTGAGTCCACCTCTATGACCTCTAACAGCTGACATCTTCAGGGCTTGGTTCAAGCCCTTCCTCCAGTCTTGACAGGTTTTTCTCCCTCAGGTGACTCCACGATTTTACAGCTTGGAGCTTCAGCTGTGGCTAACAGTTTCCAAATTAATCCCTTCAGTCTAGGCCCTTCCTCTGAGTTCTGATTCCTTAATCTATCCAATTGCTATTTGACATTTCTCTCTTGATGGATCTCAAAATTAACATGTCCAGACTTTTGTCTTTCCATCTGAAATCTGTACGACTTCACTTCTCTTCTCAATCCCGCCAATGACTGTTCTGGTCACCATGCTCTTCAAACCTAAGCTCAGATGTCAGCTTTGATACCACTGCCAGCTGGCATCTGGCTTCCAGGGCATCATCATCTTGTGTGACTGAGGCACCTGGAAGCCACCTGCTTCTCTCTGTCACCATGACTACCCTCTGATCCAGGTCAGCCTCTTTTCTTGCCTGTTCAGTTCAGTTGCTCAGTCATGTCTGACTCTTTGCGATCCCATGGACTGCAGCATGCCAGGCCTCCCTGTCCAACACCAACTCTTGAAGTTTAGTCAAACCCATGTCCATCAAGTCAGTGATGCCATCCAACCATCTTATCCTCTGTCGTCCCCTTCTCCTCCCACCTTCAATCTTGCCCAGCATCAGGGTCTTTTCAAATGAGTCAGTTCTTTGCATCAGGTGGCCAAAGTATTGGAGTTTCAGCTTCATCATCAGTCCTTCCAGTAAATATTCAGTACTGATTTCCTTTAGGATGGATTGGTTGGATCTCCTTGCTCTCCAAGGGACTCTCAAGAGTCTTCTTGCCTGTACTATTTTACAATTACTATACTAACAATGTTCCCCCTCATTCATTCTTGTGCCTTACCCTTCCTGTGCCCATCCATTTCGCACAAATAGGTGGAGTGCTATTTTAGTTGATTTTAAGACTTCTGATTTCTGCAAATTTAAGAAACATTTTATTTATTTATTTTTTATTTTTGGCTGTGCTGGATCTTCATTGTCGCCCGTGGGCTTTTTCTAATTGGGACAAGTAGGGGCTACTCTAGTTGCAGTGTACCGGCATCTCATTTCGGTGGCTTCTCTTTTTGTGGATCACAGACTCTAGAGTATCCAGGCTTCAGTAGCTTTGGGACTTGGACTCTAGAGCACAGGCTCAGTAATTGTGGTACCTGGGCTTGGTTGCCCCCAGCATATGGAATCTTCCTGAACCAGAGATTAAGCCCATGTCCTTCGCATTTTCAGGCAGATTCTTAACCACTGGACCACTAGGGAAGTCCCATGATTTCATGCCAGTTTAACTGTGGGGAGTGAGGCTTCTCCAGGCAGGTGAAGGGGATGCTAATTATGTGTTTGGCTGTCCATCCTTCACTGTCTCCAGTTGCTTGTCTGGATGTAGAAGGATCCAAATTGTGCTGGATCTCACATTGGAAGTGTCATCTCTCTCCTGGGGGTGCAGTGAAGGAAGAAGACCTTGGAGATAACATGGGAAGCTTGATTTCCAATATCCTCCCTTCCTTGTCCTTCAAAGGCACTGCACAGGCCTCACTTGACTAGTTTCTTCTTCTGGGGAGTCAAGAAGCTCTCCGTAAGCTTCTGGATTTTCTCCAGGAATAGCAAGAACCCTGGGAGACTTTGGAAATAGTATGGGCTTCCCTGATGGCTCATAGTGGGGACTGTGGGGAAGTAAATTTAGAAAGTGCTTTAGGGACAATCCCTGGGTGAGATGGCATCTGTGGGGCTCTTCTGAGCCCCACAAACCCATCTAGACATGGAAGCAATCTAGATGTCCATCAAAAGATGAATGGATAAAGAAGCTGTGGTACATATATACAATGGAATATTATTCAGCCATAGAAAGGAACACCTTTGAGTCATTTTTAATGAGGTGGATGAACCTAGAATACAGGTAGATGAACCTAGATACAGAGTGAAGTAAGTCAGAAAGAGCTAAACAAAGAGAAACCCAACCTTCTTACTTCTGGGAAGCCTATCGCAGCAGTAGCAACAGTGGGGTCCCAAGATTAGTTTCATTATGGACGAAACTACACAGGCCAGCACAGGACTATGACCAGGACTGTGATTTGACTACATCCTAATTATCAAATTACTCTGAATTATATTCTTGTCTCCACTCCTTTACATTGTGAAAAAATGAGATTTTAGGTCTGTGTGCCTCATTTTCCCTTTTCATTTTCTTTCTAGGATTCTGTGAATGAAGAACCATCTCAGAGGAAGGACCATCCACATGGTAAGATAATCCTTAAAAACTGTTAAGCTCATATCTGTATTCTTTTGAATGCATCATGCATCAAAATAAAGTGGAAAATTATCTAGATAAGTTAGAACAAAAACTCATCCTGTAATAATGAGCGATGTTAAGCATCTTTTCATGTGTCTGTTAGCTATCTGTATGTCTTCTTTGGAGAAATGTCAGCTTAGGCTTTCTGTCCACTTTTTGATTGGGTTGTTTGTTTTCCTGGTATTGAGTTGCAGCACTATTTGCAATAGCTAGGACATGGAAGCAATCTAGATGTCCATCAACAGATGAATGGATAAAGAAGCTGTGGTACATATATACAATGGAATATTACTCAGCCATGGAAAGGAACACATTTGAGTCAGTTTTAATGAGGTTGATGAACCTAGAATACAGGTAGATGAACCTGGAATACAAAGTGAAGTAAGTCAGAAAGAGAAAAACAATTATTGTTTATTAATGCATATTTACAGAATCTAGAAAAATGGTACTGATGAACCTATTTGCAGGGCAGCAATGGAGACGCAGACACAGTGAACAGACTTGTGGACATGGTGGGGGTGGGGAGGAAAGGGTGGGATGAATGGAGAGATTGTAGCATGGAAACATATACATTACCCTATGTAAAGTAGATAGCTAGTGGGAATTTGCTGTAGACTCAGGGAATTCAAACCGGGGCTCTGTGGCAATCTAGAGGGGGGGATGGGGTGGGAGGTTCAAGAGGGAAGGGCCATATCTATATATACCTATGGCTGATTCATGTTGATGTATGGTGGAAATCAACACAATATTGTAAAGCAATTATCCTCCAATTAAAAATAAATATTTTTTTGGAAAAAGCTGGAAAAAAATAATGCATCCTGGAGCGCTAGCTCAGGTTGGGGCCCACAATTTGTCCCTGAGGGAATCTCAAACACTTGTGAGTAGGTGCAGCACCAGCAGAGGTTCTGGATGTGGCATGGGTGCCCCCAGCCTTCTTGCAAATATTTCAGAGCTGGGCTTGCCTCTTGCAGCTTCTTTCCTGACTCAGCCTCTTCTTCCAGTCTGGGATCCCAATGTTGGACTCCTGCTGGGGAGCAGAATATAACTCCACGTGTATGCCTGCTCAGTGGTGCCTGACTCTTTTTGACTGCATGGACTGTAGCACACCAGGCTTCCCTGTCCATCACCAACTGCTGCTGCTGCTGGTGGTGGTGGTTTAGTTGCTAAGTTGTGTCCGACTCTTGTCATCCCAGCACTGTAGCCTATCAGGCTCCTCTATCCATTGGATTCTCCAGGCAAGAATACTGGAGTGGTTTGCCATTTCCTTCTCCAGGGGATATTCCTGACCCAGGAATCAAACCAGGGTCTCCTCCATTGCAGGCAGATGATTTACCAACTGAGCTATGAAGGAAGCTGAGCATCTCCTGGAGTTTGCTCAAATTCATGTCCATCGAGTCAGTAATGCGATCCAACCATCTCACCTTCGGTTGTCCACTTCTCCTTCTGCCTTCAATCTTTCCCAGGATCAGGGTCTTTTCCAATGAGTCAGTTCTTTGCATCAGGTGGCCAAAGTATTGGAGTTTCAGCTTCAGCATCAGTCCCTCCAATGGCTCTTCAGGACTTATTTCTTTTAGGATTGACTGGTTGGATCTCCTTGCAGTCTAAGGGACTCTCAAGTTGGGACTTCTCCAACACCACAGTTCAAAAGCATCAATTCTTCGGCACTCAGCTTTCCTTAAAGAGAGCTTTCTAAAGAAAGCTGTGCCACCTAGGAAGCCCAAAATAACTCCATGGATAACACTAAACAGAATAACATCTGCAGAATTCAGTGATGGAGCTCAGTATCCATGTGGTGATTGCCTTTAATGGTGTATCATGCACAGAGCATGAGTCAGTATGCACTGATCTGCCTCGTTCTTTTCAGTGGATGTAACTGGTTCATGATATGGGCATACACAACTAATTCAGCCATTTTTATTGTTGTTGATGGACTCCTGGGTTATTTCCAGGCTAGTTCTGTGCAAGAACTGAATATTTCACACTAAGATAGATGAGATCTGTGTTCTTGTAGGACTTCTCAAAATAATAATTAAATTTACAATTTTAATACTGATAATTTTTGCAGCTGAGGGCTTCCCTGGTGACTCAGAGAGTAAAGAATCTGCCTGCAATGCAGGACCGACACTGAAAATGAAAGTGAAGTCACTCAGTCGTATCTGACTCTTTGCAACCCTATGGACTGTAACCCACCAGACTCCTCTGTTCATAGGAATTTCCAGGCAAGAATACTGGAGTGGGTTGCCATTTCCTTCTTCAGGGGATCTGCCCAACCCAGGAATCAAATTCAGGTCTCCCACATTGTGGGTAGACTCTTTACTGTCTTGAGTCACCAGGGAATCCTGACATTATGTGCTGGGAAATATACTGGGTTGGCCAAAAAGTTTGTTCAGATTTTTCCCATCACATTCTATGGAAAAATCTGAAAGAACTTTTGGCCCAACTATATATATATATATAAAGCCCATAAATTATTTAATCTTCATAGCATATAATATATAATCCTCACAATAACCCAACAATATAGTCCTCATAACAATCCTATAAAGAAGGTGCTATTTTCATTATTCTCATTGTACAGATGAGTGAAGTTAACCAGAAATACATGAACTTAGACAGTGGTAGGGAGTTAAAATTCTGTCGATGGCCTTCAGCCAAGACCCCCAGAAATATTTCTGTTACTGAACAAAATTGGGTTGAATGATTTGAGACAGTAAGGGAGTATCACAAATGATGGGGACCAAGAAGCACCTCAGAAATGATGGGGTTGGAGAAGACTTTCTATAGGATGTTGACTTGTGTGAGCTGATTTTGGGGGAAAGTATTAACTCTCCCAGGCTTCCTTGCTGGCTCAGCACTGAAAGAATTTGCCTGCAATGCAGGAGACCCAGGTTCAATCCCTGATTCAGGAAGATTCCCTGGAAAAGGGAATGACAACCCACTCTAGTATTCTTGTCTGGGAAATCCCATGGACGGAGGAGCCTGGCGGGCTGCAGTCCATGGGGTCATATAGAATCAGACATGACTGAGTGGCTAACATTTACTTACTTACTGAGCCACCTGGAAGTCCTGACTTGGTCTCTAATTTTCTCCTGACTCTTCTCCTGTCTCTTCAACTGGATGGTGAGCACCTTGAGGGAAAAAGTTGACCTTTTCCATCTCTTGTCTTCGCTGCAGTGTATCTGTTGCCCAGGACTTAGCACTTGGGTGCTGGTGATGAGACAGTAAAGAACCAAGAGAGTGGATAAAGAGGTCAAGGAGGGGGAAAGGTAGAGGCAGAGGGAGGGGGAGGAGAGGAGAGGGGAGGAAGAGAGAAGAGTAAAACCAACGATCCAGGACTGTCTCTTGGCTCATTACTCTTCCCTCTGTTGGAGAAGGGGGGTCATTTTAACTGCACAAGGACAGGGAGCCTGGGTGCTCCCAAGGATCATGCCCCACATGGCCTTATGTGGGTTTGATTGATCCAGCCACACTACCCTACCCACAGCTTAAGCAGAAGTCCCCATCTACTCAGTGCTACAAGTTCTATTGCCCTGAGCTGAGATTCTTTCAGCCTAGTTCTACTCATCCCATTCTCTTCTGCTTCAAAGATCCTCACTTGGAATGAACATCAGACCAAAAGGAGCATATCTGTTCGTGTGCCCTTTCACATTCTTAATGGAGATCCTAAAAGCACAGGCACGTGGGAAAGTCAGAGGGGCTGTGTGGAGGAAGCCTGACTTGAAACAGGCTTTGGAAAGTGGATAGAGTTTAGACGACTGGGCAGAAAGCTCCAGAGGGTACACTAACTAGCAACTTGAAGCAAGGATGTAGAACTGAGCATCTACTTGTGAGGGGACCAAGGGGCGTGGTCTTGATGGAGATGAAGGGCTCACACCTCTAGATGTGGAATGGGGACGTGAGACCAGATTGTAGAGGTAGGTGGTAACCATACTGTCTCAGGGTATGAGAGAGAGACTTAAGATAAACATTTTTTTTTAGCCTATAAGTATAACTATGCGATTGTGGGTTCAGGATAAATAATTCAATAAGTTCTCCTGGAAAGAAGAGCATGAGATAGGCTTCTTTCGCTCTTTGTTTTGAAGTAGATATTAGTAACGGTAAAAATTCACAATTGAGAACTATGAGGCCTGAAGGGAAGAGTGAGATCACAGTACAACTGCAAAGTCATAAGGAAAACCCCAATAATATGTATTGTAAGAGCTCTGTGCATCTCTGATCTCATTTATAGGGTAATGTCTCCTGCTTTCCTTTCAACAGAGCCCCTGCACATTATCCTCATGGGGAAGAGCGGGACTGGGAAGAGTGCCAGTGGGAACACCATCCTCAGGAAGACGGAGTTCCACTCTCAGCTAAAAGCACAGCCGGTCACCACAAGCTGCCAGGTCGGCAGGACAATGTGGAATGGGCAGGATATTGTGGTTGTGGACACTCCATCACTCTGTTGGGAGTCCAGAGCTGAAGGGGATCTATCCCAGGTCAAGAAGGCAGTCAATGAGTGTAGGTCCCACTATAAAGAAGGGAGTACAGTTCTGGTTGTGGTGTTACAGCTGGGACGGATCACTAGAGGGGACAAAAAGGCAGTGGTGGACCTAAAGTGCATCTTTGGAGCAGAAGCTATGGAACACATGATCGTGCTGTTCACCTGGAAGGAAGACCTAGAGAATGGCAACCTTGATGATTATGTCAATAACACAGATAACAAGTATCTTAAGAACATAATTAAAAAGTGTAAGGGGAGATATTGTGGTTTTAATAACAAAGAAACTGGCCAAGCCAGGGAAGACCAGGCAAAAGAGCTTTTGACAATGGCCAGTAAAGTGATAAAGTGTGGTGGACAGCATAAACATCCCAGTACATGGCATGTAGGCAAAATAATAAAAATAAGGAAAAGCTCTCCAAATTACTAAGTAATTTAAAGGAAAGGTTCTAGGAAAATGAAATGCTTGGGGTCTCTTTAAGTTGAAGATACTCTCAGGCTACAAGCATGGTGGGGTGGGGGGCATGGCAAGGGGATGGGAAGAGGAACCATGACTTTGAGAGCTTGAGAGATGAATGCATCTCACCTTGTGATGCTTCAGCTCTTTGCAGATGGGGCATGTAATAGGAGGTAATAAAGGAGAAAGAAGAAATAAGGTAGGGAAATCTGCAAAAAGGCTTCAGATATTAGGCTGATATTAAGGATCAGAGTCAAATCACAAGAATCACTTCACCTGTGTAGGTAGATTGGAGTCAGGACAGACACTGGGACTATGGCCAAGGAGAGCCTGGGGTCAGAATACAGATAGTCACATGAGAACCAGGGGATTCAGCTACATGAGAGTAAGACAGTGTCCTGCCAACTCCTGGGCATGGCAAAACAGAGAAGTTGGACTCCTGTGAGCCTCTCTGTTGCTGAGCACTGCTTGCCAGGTTCTCCCAGCCTCCCCATCTCCCCCAGGGGCGCTCTCAGGACCTTCTTTTCCTCATGTGGTTACTCTTACTCCTTTCCTTGTTCCAAGCTGGAGTGGAAAGTGGGCCCGTCTACCCTCCATTGCTCTCCCTGAGGAAATGGACATGATCTCTGAAGTATCAAAAGATTTAATTGCTAATCATTCATGGTGACACAGACTAGAACAAAAATGAGAAGCATGGTAAATTGCTAATTAGATAATCTTGCAAAATTTAAAATTCTAAGTAAAATTCTAGATTTCCTTTAGAATTTTCAGGAAAAGTAACTGAAAACTCCTTTGCATTTCTTTCTCTCTTCGTCTCCCTTTCTCTTTCTCTCCACCCCCATCTCTCCCTGAGGCTTGTGCATGCATGCTCAGTCATGTCCAACTCTTTATGACCCCACAGACTATAGCCCACTGTGGACAGGCCCCTCTGTCCATGGGATTTTCCAGGCAAGAATACTGGAGTGGGTTGCCTTATCTTCCTGCAAGGGTTCTTCCCAACCCAGAGAATGAACCCAAGTCTCCCATGTCTCCTGCATTGGCAGATGGATTCTTTACCACCAAGTCAACTGGGAATCCCCTCCCCAAGGCTTAGGAACTCAAATAATAATGGCTTACACATTAAGGGTTTATTGTGTGTCTTATGTCAAGAAATCCAGGAGTAAGCAGTTTGGGGGAAGTGTAGCACTGACATTCCAGTGTCTTTCTGCCTTTCTGCCCCTAGTCATTAGCATGGGTATCTCCATACTTAAGGTTGCTTCTTGGTTTCTACTCATGGCTAGGCAGATTATGTTGAGAGCTACCTAGTGTGGGTGATAAATGAGAACTATGAAATCTCCCAGTTAGGTGTAAGGTCAGATGTTTTCAATACTAACCACTTTATATATGTTTTGAGGACATGATCTATGTCATCTGCTTTTTAAAAATTTCAAAATATCAGGTTATCTCAAGATTAACCCATTTATAAGAGCATGGACTGTCATCACTAATACTTTTTACTCTGTATAACCCTTAATAAATTCTGGAAGGTGTGTGTAAATATATTCAGTTGAGTGAAATAATAAAGATGAAATATATTGTGAATTCATGTCCTCCTCATGATTCCTATTTTTCTGACTTGGGGGAAGACCATGCTTCCATAGAGAGGAAATGAAGATGTTTAGATACCTTGACTCTGATGAAGTTTTTGCATCTTTGATGCATGAAGACCTTTAAACTGGGTGTCAGTCACTTTACTATGCTTCCGCCAACTCAAGAATCTTCTACTCTGTGCATTTCACAACAGTGAGGACAAACAAAAGTAACTGGTATTAGAGCCAGGTACATAGGAGGAATAAAGTCTAGAAGCCATTCTGTGCCTCTTGCCACAGCTCCCCTTTGGCTTAAATGTGGGAACAAATCCCAAGGTGCTACCCGTGATTGAGCAGGTGACATCGGACCTGCATGAGGTGGGTAATGTGTGGGCTGAGCAACATGATGTACATTTTCAGAGGAGAGGAGAAAGAGGCAGGAAGAATATTTGAAAAAATAATGGCTGCAAGCTTCCAAAATTTGATGAAAAACATTAATCTACACTTTTAAGAAACTCAATGAACTTCATGTAGGATAAATTCAAAGAGACTCATATCCACTATAATTAAATTACAAAAGACAAAGAAAGAATCTTGAAGGCAGCAAGAAAGAAGTGACATTGCATTCAAGGAATCAACAAGATTAATGGCTAATTTCTCATCAGAAACCATAGAAACCAGTGGTCCATAGGATGGCACATTCAAAGTACTGAAAGAAAAGACTGTCAACCCCACAGTATTTATCCAGCAAAACTGTTCTTCAAAAATTAAGATTTGAAATATCCCCAGATAGAAGTGGAAAGAATTTATTGACTTCAGAACTACCCTACAAGATAAGATCCTGAGAAAAAAGAACAAAGCTGGAAGTATCATGTTCCCTGACTTCAGATTATACTACAAAGCTTTAGTAACCAAAACAGTGTGGTACTGGCACAAAAACAGATACATAGATCAATGGAAGAGAATAGAAAGCTGAAAAATAAGTCCATTCACATACGGTCAATTATTCTATAACAAAAGAGGCAAGAATATCCAATGGGGGAAAAGGCAGACTCTTCCATAATTTATGTTGGGAAAACTCTACAGTTACATGTAAAAGAATGAAATTACAACATTTTTTATACCACATATGAAAATAAACTCAAAATGGATTAAATATCTAAATGTTGGACTGGAAACCATAAAAATTCAAGAAGAAAACATAACACTTTTTGACATGTCTTGAAGTGAAGTGAAGTGAGTGAAGTGTAGGTTGTTCAGTCATGTCTGACTCATTGTGACCCCATGGGCTGTAGCCCACCAGGTTCCTCTGTCCATGGGATTCTCCAGGCAAGAGTACTGGAGTGGGTAGCCTTTCCTTCTCCAGGGGTTCTTCTTCACCTGAACCTGGGTCTCCTTCATTGCAGGCAGATTCTTTACCATCTAAGACACCAGAGAAGCCCAGCCCTAAATGTAGGGCTGGAAACCATAAAAATTCTAGAAGAAAGCATAGTTAGAACACTCTGACATGCCTTAGTAATATCTTTTTGGATCTGTCTCCTCAGGCAAGGGTAACAGATGCAAAAATAAACAAATGGGACCTAATTAAGTTTAAAAGCTTTTGCACAGCTAAGAAACAATCAACAAAACAAAAAAGCAACATACTAAATGGGAGAAGATATTTGTAAATGATGTGCTTGATAAGGGGTTATTACCCAAAACACATAAAGAACTCATGCAACTTAAATATGAAAAAAACACAACCAAACCATCCGATTAAAAACTGGGTTGAATTCTTATTGACAGGAATATGTGGAAATTAAACAGCACATTCCCCAATAACCAATGGGCCAAAGAAGAAATCACAAGGAAATTTAGAAAATATTTTGAGATGAATGAAAATGAAGACATATCAAAACTTACGAGAAGCAGTTAACACAAGGATGCTTAGAGGGAAATATAAAGCTGTAAATGCTTTTATTAAAAAACTAATAATATAATCCTCCACCTTAAGAAATCAGAGAAAGAAGAGCCACTGAACATAAAGCAAGTGGAAGAAAGAAAACAATAAAGCGCAGAGTAGAAATAAATGAAACAGGCAATAGAAAAGCAATAAAGAAAGTGAGTGAAACTACAACTTGGTCCTTTGGAAAAAAAATCAACAAAATCAACAATTTTGTGGCTAGTCTGACCAAGAAATAGAAAGCTAAAATTACTAAAATTAGAAATGAAAGAGAATACGGTGCTATTGACCTTACAGAAATAAAAAGGATATAAGGAAAAACAAAGACAACTGTATGCTGACATATTAGATAACTTGGATGAAATGGACAAATTCCTAGAAAGACACAAGCTACTGTGACTCAAATTGAAATAAAATCTGAACATATCTATAACCTGCATGTAAGATTAAATTAGCAATTAAAATAACTATCCCCAAAGGAAAACCAGATGGTTTCACTGATGAATTCCACTAAAAATTTAAAGGGAGAATTAACACCAATACTTTTCTCCAGTAGTCATGTATGGATGTGAGAGTTGGGCTATAAAGAAAGCTGAGTGCCTAAGAATTGATGGTTTTGAACTGTGGTGTTGGAGAAGACTCTTGAGAGTCCCTTGGACTGCAAGAAGATTCAACCAGTCAATCCAAAAGGAAATCAGCTCTGAATATTCATTGGAAGGACTGATGCTGAAGCTGAAACTCCAATATTTTGGCCACCTGATGCAAAGAACTGACTCATTGGAAAAGACTCTGATGCTGGGAAAGATTGAAGGTAGGAGGAAAAGAGGGCAACAGAGGATGAGATGGTTGGATGGCATCACTGACTTGATAGACATGAGTTTGAGCAAGCTTTGGGAGCTGGTGATGGACAGGGAGGCCTGGTGTGCTGCAGTCCATGGGGTCACAAAGAGTCAGACGTGAGTGAGTGACTGAACTGAACAGACTGAACACTAATACTTCTCAAACAAAAAGTAAGAGAGGAGAAAGTATTTCACAACTTTTGTATGAGCTCAGTATTATCCAGACAAAGATATTAAAAGAAAAGGAAACTACAGACTAATAACCTTATGAATATAGACATAAAACCCTCAACAAAATACTAATAGAGTACAGCAACTTATAAGAACAAGTATATTCCTGGATTTACCCCAGGAAAGCCAGATTGATTCAATATATGAATGTCAGTCAATGTGTTCCACCATATCAGTAGAATGAAGGGCAAAAATCACATGATCATCTCAATAGATACAGAAATAAGTTTGACAAAATCCAAGACCCATTTAATGATAAAAACACTCCATAAACTAGGAAGAAAGAGAGTCATGTTTAGCCTTTCACTTATTATCCTTGTATGCTTCTCAACTGTCTTACAAATTCTAGACTCCTTGGTATTTTAGGCAAAGCTCTTCATGGTGGGGCATCCATTCGGGTCTCCACTATCCTTACTCTTGCAGTCATACCCGAAGCTCCTGCCCTTTGGCCTGCGCTGCTTCCTACAGCAGCCCTCACACTTCTCCCAGTCCCCCCACCTTCCCAGACATACATACACATGCTGTGGATGACTACGACCCCAGTTCATCATGGAATATTCATCTTAAATCTCACTTTTTTGTTTTGGTGCTTGCCATGTGTCACATGAGATCTTAGTTCCTCAACCAGGGATTGAACCCATGCTCCCTGCAGTGGAAGCACGGAGTCTTAACTCCTGGACCACCAGGGAAGTCCCTTAAATCTCATATTCTAAAGGAAAGTTTTCTGACTCACCCAAGACTGATGGAAGTGCCCCTATTTAATTCTATCACGTTTATTGCACACCCAGATCAGGCTCGCTATGAATATTTCTTGTCTGTATCCCCAAGTATATTGTAAAATCCCTGGTGACAGAAGACTCCATTTTAAATTATATCCTGATATTTAATATGCCCAAGACCCTCAATTTATGATTTGTCACTCAGTTGTCACTTGAGATCCCCTACTCCTTGATGAATTGGTGAAATTTGGTCCAGGCTGTAATTACCACAAATGTAAGAGTTCAAAGTCCTTCCCACAATTTCTGAGTTCTTTTGACTTCTTCTGGCTTTTTCTGTCTCCTCATTCTATGAAATTATGCATTGTTTCTATTTCAGCCAATGACTCTAACGCAGAGTTTTCACTGTTTTTTTTTTTAAAAAACCAGCATTCACACACATGTATTCATATTCAGCCTTTTCTTTCTTTTTTTCAGTTTTAGACAATTTACCAGAGACTCTGCAGAGTACAAGAATCAACACACAGGATTCTTCTCCCTTTTTGGTCACTCACTTTTCTTTGCTCTCCTCTCTTAAAAACAAAAACAAAAACAAAAACAAATAGAGGGACATCCTTGGTGGTCCAGTGGTTAAGAAGCTGCCTTCCAATGCAGGGGATGCGGTTTTGATCCTTGGTCAGGGAACAAAGATCACATGTTTCGTGAGGCAATTAAGCCCAGGAGCCACAGCAAAGATCCTGCATGCCACAGCTAAGACTTGACACAGCTAAATAAGCAAATATTTACAAAATCTTTTTAAGATGTTTTAACTCATGTATGAGATCCTGTCTCTGAGTAGATAGTAATATCTCTCTTTTAGTTCAACAAGCTTTGGTTAAAAAAACAACACCACACCCTACTCCTCATCCTGCCCACAATGGAAAAAATCAATTGAACAAACATTAAAACCTTTCCTGTGTATTCAGAATATTAAATAAATAACAGGTGAACAACAAATGTGGGCCAAAGAATATTCAGAACACTCCATCAGGTTAAACAAGAAGATATATTTGTACTGATTTCTGGTGTGCAACTTGTTTTCTATGAATATTTAAAAGACTCAATTCTAAATCTTTTAGCTCCTGGAGAAGATCTGTCTCTCTTAAAATTTTCTCNCCCCCCCCCCCAGCTGTTTACTGCCTGTTATCTCACATTGTTTGAGTGCTGAAAGCCCTGAAAGTGTCTTCTCTAGGTTCCTGATTTTCCTCTCTATCTCAGTGTCTCATGCTGTTGGCAGGGCGAAGAC